AATTTGTTATTATATTACAAATAAATAATTGTTTAAGCTAATCTACTAATAATAATATAATATAATTATATAAGTATCTAGTAATTTTATCAATATTTAAGATTATTTGTAATGCTATTATATAATTATTCATGAAATGCAAATTCTTTTCTTAAAACCCAATTGGTCGTATCCTTTTATTGAATACTTTTCTTTTTTTTTTAACAATTATATTATTATAGTAATAATTTGTAAGTAATTTATTTGATCAAAAGTATCAATAGTTAATTATTTATTAAATGCCATTATTTTTACAATTAGTATATATAATATTAAATATTTCATAATATTCATGAATTAATCAGAAATTAAAGTTCTAAATGATTTAGATTAATCTGAAGATTTTTCAGATCAATTTGAATCAAATTAGTTTTAAATTGCATAAAAATCAATCTAAAAATTTTTAGTTTATTTTAGATTTTTTTTTTAGATTATAATTTTTATTTAAATTGAAAATAATCTGAACTGAACTAAAAATTTCAGATTAATCTGAAAGTTTAGTTTAATTATATATAATTTTTAACTTAGAAAGAATTCACAATTTATATGTGAAACTCTTTGAGAATCACTTGCAAATTCTCTTTAAAGATCGCAAAAAATTTGCAAACTCTTTAAGAATTACTTATCTGTTCAGTTGTATTTCACATCCTTTCATAAATTACTTTTGTTTAATAAAATGACTAATAAAAGGTTTTAGTTAAAAGAAAAAGCATTTTCTGGTGGTATCATTAGTATTAAGCTAAAAATGATAATTTAGTATTTGAATATAAATGCTTTTTAGGATTTGCCTATCTACCTACTTTGAAATATTTTTCTTATATATGAAATTTTTTTTTGAAAAATTAATCTTCTCATATGTTATTTATTAAAGAAGCTTAAATCTTTGAATTCTTATTATAGGCATTAGTAATTTTTATTTATTATTAATATTTTAGAAAACTTTTTTAAATATTTTATATTATCAGCTTTAAATATTCTGCTTATAATAATAAGTTTTCTACACATACATATTTTTTAAAGTATAAAAAACTTTAGAAATGGAAGATTTGCAAATATTAAATTATTTTGTTATTTTTCTACAGACATTTCTTTCAAGGTCTTTTAACTGTTAACTAACAGAAATATTCATTTAATTTTAATTTTAGTATAATAAGAAAAATAAAAAAAAAACAGATTATTTATTTATAATATATATATTATTTAATAATTATCACATGTTTATTATTGTTTTCTGAAAACCTAAAATTTAACAATCTAACAACCTGACAATCAGAAAATCTCACTATAATTTGAATTTTACTATAAATATGATCTTCTAATCATCTGAATACTTAAATTAACCTAGATTTAAACAAAAATTGACACTGACCTGACAGATTTTTTGAATTAAGGACTTATGTTATAAAAATGATATTCCTGAAAAATTCAAGTTAATCAATTGTTATGGAGAACTAATTATTAAAGTTTTGTCATAATTATTATAGTTATTACATATGATTGATGAAAAATTATAATTGTTGCATTTATTTTTCATAGCACAAAAGCATGATATCAGCTTTTTTGATTACAATTGTATGAATATTATTTAGATAAATGTATTACAAAGTTGCAGATAAACTTCAGTTTTGAGTTATGTTGATATTGTTTAACTTAGATTCTTAAAAATGATTACTTTAAGCATTAAATAATAACAGTTAGGTATAATTAAAGATGGTCTCTATAATTATTTTCAAATGTCAATTAAGTTACAACTTAATTGAGCCATTTTTTTAATTATAATGACCATCTTTAAATACGATATAGAAAAGAAAGTGAATTTTTGTAGAATTATTTTTTAATATATATTAGCTTACTTAATTATTTGTACTACTAATATAACTGATTATTTAAGAAAAAATTAATATATTTTACACATTGTATGTAGTGTAGCATTTGATTTTTTTAAAAAAAATTTTGTGTCACTTTTCTTTCTTTAAATTATATCGTTTCTTCAGGTATTAGGTAAGTTAATTTTTTAGTTGCTTTTTTTTAGTAATTGGTAAGTCATTTCTTCATAATAATGAAATCTTATACAATAAGGTAATTGTTAGTAATTGTTAAAGTAAGATATTATATTAAATAGTTTTTAAAATGATAGTTTATATTAAAAATTAATTCTAGTTTTCAAAATAATAGTTATCTCATCTATAAATTAGTTTTCATTAAAATTTTAGTTTCAAATATTTGAATACTGAAATTCATATTATAGCTTTAATTCTCTTAACATTTTTTTTATTAACAAATAGTTTACACGAATTTTTGATGAATATAAATTATTAACTAGTACTCAGATTGGGTTTAAGGTGAAAAATTTGTAAACTCTTTGAAAATCGCTTGCAAATTCTCTTTGTAGATTATAAAAATTGTGAATACTCTTCAAGATTTGTAATAAGATTGCAATTTCTTTAAGAGTTTCACATATAAATTATGATTCTCTTTAAGTTTAGTATATAATCAAATCATAATTTTGGATTAATCTTAAAATTTCAGTTCAATTCAGATTTTTACTGATCTATGATACAGTTTAGATTCAGAATGGCTTTTAATCTGAACTGAATTAAACTGTTCAAAGCTTTATCAGAAATATATATTGCTGATGTCAATATTTTTTGGATTATGAACTTTATATATTGTTAAAACATTAAGTTTTGATACACAATTTGAAATCTGTTTACAGATACAAGTGGTTATATATTTAGTCTTATATAATCATGATAAATCATTAAGATTATAGATGTACAACTGGTTATTTTGTTTGTAATTGAATTTTGATTAATAATAATTTTTAAAATAAATTTTACATGTTCAGAAAGAAATTTTCTGATGTTTAATAGATATTTATCTACAAGTTTACATTTTAAATTGTTCACTATTATATAATAAGCAGAAAATCTAATACTATTCATTTTATCAATTACAGCACATATTGCTCCTGATGCTGACAAATATAACCAAATTTTAATTTGAAATCATTAATAAACTTAAATTAGTGCTTTACTAATTTATTTAAAAGGCCTTGTAAATGTGAATCTGCTTGTTCAATCATTTGTTAAAATGGGTAGGATCGAGTTCTAAATTACCATGCGGATTATATAAACCTTTATAAGCATAGTAACCTATTCGGCAAATGAATAGCTTTTTTGGTTCTATATAAAATAAAAAAATTTTTTAATTATAAATATATTACAGCATTATAAAATACTGTATAATGGTCATAAAAATAATAAAATTAGAGTTGTATTTCTGATTTACCGATCATCCGGATCTGGTTAATATTAGAATACTGGGATTCAGATGATCGGGTAAATTAGAAATATAACTCCGATTTTATTATTTTTATGGCTAATTATATTATTATTTTTATAACTATAAATAGTATTTACGATTTGTTATATTTTCTTTGTTTGGTTCTAAAAAAGAGGAATTTCTGATTTCTGTCTACGATCAGGTTCAACAATACTCATATAATGATTATCACAGTTGTTGTCCGATTTTTAACTATGTATATGCCTCATAAGTTCCTTTATTGAGCTTGCTCATATGCTAACGAAGTAAATTGACGAAAACGGGATACATGATTATTAATATTTCACATTGAACATGGGCCATAATTTTTTCGAACCATATTGAGGTAGCTAATTTAAGGTGGAAACACAGCAGATGGACAGAAAATGACTCACGTGTTATTTGTTTAACGCATTGAATTAACTAAAATTTACATGTCCCGTTGATCAATCAAAGTATATGCAATATTTGATTGGTTATACTAATTATACTAAGCAGTTTATATATAATACTAAATGATTAAAAATAAATACACTACCCTATCAAAAGTATCCGATCAAGCTTTTTTTTTTTGATTTTCTTGAGACCAGTTATATTAATTAAAATTTTTTTTAAAAAATAAATGCCCTTGTTATGATGCAAATTTGGCAATATAAATGTAAAAAGTGATCTTTTTACTACGCCATTCGAAACATATTTGAATTAAATGAATTTGAGCATGGAAAAGTCATTGGCCTTGGATAGAAGAAAGAACTCATGAAACCATTAGTCGTGTCTTAAAAAGTCCAAAAAGTACTATTACAGACACAATTTCTCGATATAAAAATTCTAATACTGGATTAACATTGCAAGAAGAATGGAAAGTATCCCATCTAAAACTTATATGCCACATCGGATTGAAACATGCATTAAACCAAGGATGGCCAACTAAATATTAAATATTTATAATAAAACATAATTTTTATTGATTGACCGGATATTTTTGATAGTAGTGTATATAGTGAGAAAAAAAATAGATAAATGTCGCTAATCCTAAACATTCCTATGAAGATAAATTCGGAAATGAATAAAGCTAGTAAATTTGATAGTTATAATTATTTTCAAAATTTTTAACGATTCTTAGAACATAAATACAATTTTTAGAATTTTCTTGGTTTAACCTTGACAATGCATTCATCAACATGGTTAATAAAATCAGATTTAAGTTTAAGTGGTGCATTGATATCAGCCATTTCAATATCATATTTTCTGAAATATACCATTAGGCATTTTAATTCAATCATCGCCAACTTTTTTCCCGGACATATTCTGATTCCTCCTCCAAACATAGGGAAAACATTTTTCGCTTTTTGTTTTTCGAGTAAATATTTGTCACTTTCTTCAACCTTGTAAAACCTATCAGGATCGAATTTTTCAGGGTCGGTCCAATAATTCTTGTGTTTCATTATTGAAGAATAAAGCATTTGAAATAGAGTTGCCTCTGGCCAGTCATATCCTCCAATACTATCTCTTTCAGCATTTAAGCGAGTCATCCAGAACGAAACAGGGCAATGACGATTCACTTCATTGATAAATGCTTCGCAATATTGTAATTCGTCAAGGTCTCTATATGTTACGGGTTTTGTTAAGTCCTTTCCAAGAACTTCATCCAATTCACGTAGTACTCTTTGTTTCACTTCAGGATAACGTCCGAGATAATATACAATGAAGCAAAACAAATTAGCCACCTAGATATGATTAAGATTAAAAAGAATTGAATTTATAATGGTAAAATGTTTTTTTAAAAAAAAACAAAAATATCAAACAATAAAACTCTTATTTACAGTTTCGGTTCCACCAAGCATACTATCAAGTATCATTCCACGAATCTCATTGTCAGTCGCTGGTCTCAATATATCAGCACCGACGCGTTTTACCGTGTTGATATCACGTGGTGTGTTCGCGGTTATATAGGATGTCATCATGTCGTGACGAAGAGGCTGATCTAACGGTGTATTCTCAATCTCAATTTTTCTTTCTTTAATAACTTTATGTAACTTATCAAACAAATACTTCTTGTTTTTCATAAAACCTTTCCACTTTCCACGAATAATTGGAACATAATGAAGCATAAAATTATTAAAAATTGTAAGATAAATCAATCCCCCTATGTAAGTTTCAACTGACTTGACAAACTTTTCGGATTCATCAACCGGTTCTCCTTTTATTCCTTTTAAAGTATTGTTGTCACATTCAACAATGAAATTATAATAAGAATTAACATTATTATTTTTTACGCCGGTAGTAACTTTAAAAATTATCTCGTTTGTAAATCTATGCATCCATTTACTAAGATTTAATTCATGATTTTCTCCAAGGTTATTCCAACAAGATTCCATTTCTTTACATAATTCGTTTACCCATTCAACAGCTTGATCATTAAAATTTGGTGTCAACATAGATTGATCAAAAAATTGACGATTATATTTCCAAGTTTCATAGTCATTGATACTGCCTATTCCTACATTATATAACTCATATTCAACAAATCCTTCTGTTATATGAAATCTACTAAAGAAGTTAGATTTCGTTGAAGGCATATTCAACTTTTCAATCAAATCTGCTCTACATAATACGATATTACGTTCTCCTGCCAAATATATTTCAAACATGTCTCCGTACTTTTTATGCAATAACGTCAACCAATCATTAAATCCACATCCTATTCCAATACTTTGATGAACGTTACCAATAATTGGAAGTGGGAATGGACCGGGTAGAGGGTTCGTACGGGTAAAATATCGATAATAGAATTGAGTTACATAGATAACTATAAAAGTTGCCAAAAGAGAAGCAATCCAAGAGATCATTGTTTGTTGAATTTTTGTGAAAAGTGTTTCGTGTGAAATCCGAAATGATGAAATTTATAGTCTGAAGTGTTGTGCTTAAAATCAAGGGTTGTAGATTTTCTTTTTTTATGCAAAAAATGTGGAATCGATTTTTTTTTCACTGGTTAATAATTTTCCATCAACCATAATTGAGTCGATTCCTGTGTTTAATTGATTTTTTTTTTTTTGGTTAAGATCGTTCGGAATTAACAAAACTAGTTTTATTAAATCAGATTTCGAGAAAATCGTAATTAAAAAATATCACGTGATGTCCCGTGATCACGATTAATTTCTCAAAAACGGTCTTTATAACCTAGGATGAAATTTTACGAGCAACCTTTTAAGAACATTGACTTCCTTTTAAAGCCTTTATATTTTATCTAATGCCACGAAAAATGCGATATTTGATCTATTAGCATTTGTAAAGAAAAAAAATAAAAGGATTTTTTACTAATATGTTATGGTCGGAAAAGATATTCCCCAAAAGGTTAGGTCGATGATCCTAAAATAATTAACAATGAAATCTCAAAATTGGATCGGTCCGGCCTATCCTCCTTTGCCGTGGGATCGCCCATAGCCTAATATCGGAGTATTTAATTGATAATTTAGTAAAAAGCGAGGCTTATCGTCTTTTGGTTTCTCGTGCTGAATATCATTTATTATATAAGGCATGATAATGTCCACCAAATGGAAAACACGTCTTATAATTTTACTGGCTGAAAAAGATTGAAAACCCTATGAATTAAGCAAGCGTTTCAAAAAAAGTTCGCCGCGAACTAACCGAATTAACTTTGAGCAAGACCGAGATTAGTCAAAACTTTCCTCAGTTAGATATTAAGTCAGTGAAAACAGTTAATGCCATAAAGGGACATGATTTGTTGAAAAATTATAAAGTAATCAAAGTAATCGTATTAAGTGATTTTCTGCCGTGAATCTCGAACATTAGAGAATTAAATCGAGAAAAACAGCGAGATTATTTTCAAATTTTTGGTCCGTTGATCCTCACTTTATGGAATTATAACGTTATTATCACGTACTAAAATTCAAATTAATTAATAAATGAAAGAGTATGAACTTCGTTCAGATATCGGGTCCAAAAAATAAGGCAAAATGGGAGGAATACCCAAAAAGCATCATATTTTTTACAAAAATGGCGAATTTGAAAGCCCACCATACAAAGGCTAAAAATTTAATTAATGATCGTGAGTACTGTGTGTCTGAAATTGAGATTTCAATTTCAGACACCCTTTTTGTATCTGAATACAACTTAGAAAAAATCCATTTTAACCAATCACAATATGCCAATTTTTTTTTTTTTACAATTTCGTAAATACAGTCTATTTCAGAATTAGCATACTAATAAAAATTATCTTTTAGCTTTTTTTTTATTTTTCGAATTTCCTTCTTTTATTTTTTTTTAGGATTTTGATCACATACAGGCTGCTGCTTAATATATCTTTTTTTCGAATTTTTTTTTACTTTCTATTTTTAATATAATTTTGATTTAGATTTTTCGACAAATAAGTAAGTTCTTTTTTTCTTCATACAGAGCAAATTTTGTAGAAAAATTCGGAAAGCAATAAAAATATATACAAGGTATTTGTATAAAAAAGATCAAGGAGTTTGCATTTGGGCGAACCCACAGCAAAAATGGGGCTCGGGCAGTCACGTGATTTAGAGAAAATCGCAATCAAAGTTTTCACGAATTTCTTAAAACGGGCTTTATAACTTAAAAAAAATTTCACAGGCAATATTTTAAGAACATTAACTTTCATTTAACACATTTAATTTACTTGTATTATTGAATATGTAAGAGCATAACCTTTATAAACTTTTTAAAAAAAAATAACAAAATTATTCATTTCGAAGTGTTACTTTTAAAATCAATAAAATCGTAATTTTATAATTGCAACAATAAAAATTTTATTTTATATATAAAATATGTTATATAATGTAAAAATCGTAAAAAATGTAAGTTTCATAATGTAAAAGTGCATTTTTTAAAATTAATTTTTATTCGGGTTTAGGACAAGTAATTTCACGAAAGGGTAAATCAACATAGGGCGCAATTTCTTTATATAATTCCTCTTATCTTTTTAAGGAAAGGGGTCTAAAAGAAATTGTAGGTGATAAAATATTGGTAGTATAAGAAATAGTACAAATTGTAGCTTTTTCATAATTATTTTCAAGTTTATCTTTACAAAGACAACTCCGGGATGTTGTGAAGAAAAATAATGATGTTGGATAACTTTCCCATTTAAGCAACATTGAAATTATTCGTAATTGAACGGTTAATAATTGAAACTACATCAACTATAGTGTTCACCTTATTCTTTCTATAGAGAACTTTAATTAGACCAAAACACCTATCACAAATAAATTTCATATGTCCAGGTATCATGAAATTTAATTCTATTTTGTCATATATACCACGATCAATTAGCCATGAATAAAAAAATAAGGAGTAGTTGTTTTTGTTTTGCCTACACAGTTATCATATATAACAAATTTTTTTTCTTCATGATTATATTTATGAATTGCATGTAAAACTAAATGTATAGTTTAGTGTTGTTAAATAATATTGAAATGACATCAAATGACATGATTTTACTATGAAAAATGACAAATGTCATTTAAAAAATAGGCAAATGACATTACAATGGTATAGTTCATATATGTTTGATAGAATTTAAATCTAGTAATTGTGCTGACTATTCAAGTATAACAATATTTTTAGTTGCCTAATTATACTAAATAAATTATACTTATATTATAATTTAATATATTTTATATTTTTAGTATAATCTATATTTTGATTTGTAATATTATTTTTGTATTTCTTTTATTACTTTTAATTTATTAATTAGTATATTAATAAAATTTTAATAAATAAATAGGATAATGCTTTTCATATATACAGTATGCTAGTCCTATATAAAGTATATTAAGTTTTATAAGCATCAAATTAATAAAGTAAAGCAATTCAATTTTAAATATTACTAAATTACATATAAAAATATTTTAAATAATTTTATATATAAATTAGCAATGCTTAAAATTGAATTTTTTTAATTAGTTTAGAGCGTAAATAAAGGAATTATATATATCTATACCTGGTATTTATTTGTTTGCTTGCTTAAAATTTGAGTTGATATGTGATTGGTTCCTTTCATTATACTTATACTTTAAACTTAATAATAGTTTTCAAAACTGTTCTCTAGTATTAAAAGTAAGTTAAAATTAATTTGATTACACATTTATTTAATTTATTCATTAAAAATAAAGTTTTTTTTTATTAATTAACTGAGTATTGCATTTATTTAATAATATAAATTTATTTTATAGAAAATATGTAATAAGCTAAATTCACATATTTTTGAAATAATATTTTTTTAGTTTAATATAAATTTTTTGTATTAATTTTATAAAACTATTGATTATCTAACATAATCTATATATAAATTAATTAAAAAAGACTTTTAATAAATTAACATTATAATCACAGAAGAATAAATACATTTTAATGATAGAAAAAAATATTGTAACATAAACTTTAATAATTCTTAAAGAAAATAATTTTACTTTATCATCTGAAAAGATTATTATAACAATTGAATTTATAAAATTTAAAATTAATAATAAAATAATAGAATTGTATTTTGACTTTAAAATACAATAAATTATATATAATATTTGAATTTAATTATTTGTACTTGTGATGAAATATTAATTTTGCATAATAGTTATCATAGATTAGTTTAAATAATTTCAAATTTGATAAAAAAATATATAATTGAAAAAAAATAAATATAATTATAAAATAATGAAAGCACTTTTTCTAATTAAATTTTTAATATTAATAATTCTATTTTTTATAATAATAGTGATAATGAAAATTAACAAGAAATTAATGAAATAAAATTTAATAGACAATAATGCTTATCAGTATATTATATTTTTATTAGATATTTTAGTTCCTATTTTGATTAAATTAAACTTACCTATTTTAAAATTGATAATAAAATTAAGTGAAAACGTAAGAAAAGTAGGATGTAAGTAAAGTATATAATATTTATTATATATATTTTTAATGAAAGTAAAGTTATTTTAAATTCTTCTTATTAATATAGGTATAATTTTTATTTTAAATATTATTTTATATATGTATTATTTATTAATTTATATATTATCCCTTAAAGCGTAGGTATAAATTGGCTATAAAATATTATAGAAAAATTATAATATTTTAATATCTAA